TTTTTTTTTTTCCTTCTCCTTTGAGATTATAATGAACATGGTCACACCACAAGTAAAGTCAGACGTAGGGCAGAGAATGTTCCAAAGGCTGGTTTGGTCATCCAAGTTCTCTAAAAATGGCTGACCCCCAACAATATGTACAAAAATATAAAATGTAAATAAAAAATACAAGTTTTTTTTTTTTTAAGGAAAAAAAAGCAGGGCCTTGAAAAGTTTTGGTTCTTTTTTTCCTCCCCTGTTGCAGATTCACATTGTGGTTTTGATTAAGTGATGGAGAGCACTTGGTGGGCCTCTCTACTCAATGACAACCACCTTTCGATTCTGACAGGAAGTGGAGGGTGAATAGGTCCCGGTGGCCCTTTAACTTTTCCTTTTTTACTATCTAGTCATCTTCATCGGCCTTCTGCTTTTTGGTATCAACGTAATCAATCTTGTCATTTCAGCTGCCCATTTGCCCACAGCTGCCTCAGCCTCCTCATCTTTAACTCCATGCTGTTCCTCACCATCCTCTTCCTCTTCTTCATCTACCTCATTGTCAGCCTCCAGCTCCCCATTTTCCTCACTAGCACTCTCATTTAAGGGGCGTTTCTTTCATTTTCTGCCTCTTCCACAACTTACTTCTTTTCCTTTAAGTCTTTGGTGGTGTTCTCGGAGCTGGTGCCCATGGCCAGTGTCTGACTGGTAGGGCACACTGGTGATCTGATGCAGGGGTTAAAAGGAAACTAGTGTTCAGGGACTCTGGCAGTAAAGCTGTTGGAGTCCATACTAGTGGAGGTGGTTGAAGCCAGTGGGGAGCTGCACCCATGAACAATGCAAAGATAGTTTCTCAGGGCAGCCAATGGGGGCCATCAGTATTAGGCCCTCCTGCCAACCTCAATTTAGTACTTTCCCATAAGAAAAAAGTCCCTAATATCTATATTTATATAAGGGTAACAAATACCGTATAGGGAAGTAAGTTTAAGCAATTATATTTCATTCATGCTTCTATTAACGTGAAATATGTTGAAATCCAACCCTCAAATTTCTTATTAATGGATGCTAAATTCACATGCAGTAAACACTGAGGCTCAGATTACTTCTGAAGTGGGTTATCTCAGGCAACAATCAATATCTGGGGGAAAAAACATTATACAGCTTTTTGTAGCAGCTTTTCTTTCCTGGACATTTAATCATTTATAACCCCACATATTAGCTCAAATATGAAAACTTACCGATTTACGACTTCCATTGAATGTAAAGACATGTCCATATTGACCAGGACAGAGAAATACTCAGTGATCTGGCTTGACTGCATTAATTTCAGCAACATTTCTATTGCAACTAGAGGGTTGTTTTCCACTAGGTCTGGAAGTTTGGCTGGAGTGAGGCCAATATGATAAACAAGTTTGGGATCTTTTTCTAATTCACCAAGGAGCTAAGGAAAAAAAAGAGATTTTTAAATCAAACTGGAAATTGTTTTTCCTTCATACAAAGGTGTTTTACACAAAAAAGGTATAAAACTCATGTTCACCAATTTCATAAATTTCTACCCTCAAACTGATGGTCCTCATGTCTTAATACTGTAAGG